CTGTAATCTAATTATCAGTATTATTAGTCGCTGAACTTAATTCAAATCGGCAAACAATTAAATTACAATTAATAATGATGCCTCGTTTAAAACTGTTTCTAGATATCGTAATTATCATTGCGATGGAACGTTAAATGAGTAGTTGTTTAAAATCGATACGAAACATTAACAGAAAATTTGTCAGTGACTTAAAGTGTATCCAATATCGATGAATTCATAATTCAAATTCAAATTTTCTTTGGCAATAGCTTCACGAGTGTGATCAACGATTTTTTCAAATATTTATACAATAATAAGTATTCTTTTAAATTGGAGATTAGACCTACGAACATAGACATACTATTTGTCGTGCTAGTCGGTGTAACTTCGTTCAAACTGATAACACACAATTGATTTCAGAGTAGAATACTATATTTAGTGTTTTGAGATCCTATTGGTGTGATGTTTTCCATTTCTTTTTCCAATTTGTCTATATTTTTTTTTGTCTTACACATTTGTTTGCAACCGAGATTACATATTATCTATCAGTGTCGTGTTGAATGTAGTTTTCTGGAGGTTTGTGTCTTTTTTCGATGGTTATCGCGCGCGGATTGCGATCGCCTTGAGTCTTTTAACTTGATCTTGCATCGATGTTCGATATATCTATATAATTATTCGACGTATCTTTAGAGTATCTTTAGAGCTAGTACTTTATTGCGTGGTTTTTTACTCGTCTTGTGGCAAAGATCAACGACCATGTTGGAGATTTTCTATCATGAACCGGTACTCGCTTCGAATCCTTCAATTGTTTTATTTTTCTTTTTTTTTATTCATCATTTCGAATGTGTGGACGATTATACATCTTTACACTACATTGCGCAATTCCAATACGCTTTGTGTCACAGAATCCTCTTCGCCGAGATGTCGTTTCAGAAAAATAACAACAAAAATGAGAAATAAACTTCTAAAAAGAAATTCGTACCTCATGAAAATTATTTTTTCACTTTTTTCACTTACTAGCTTACACTTACAGTGACCTACAAATATCATAAATAATCTTTTAAAATTAAAATCGAACATTTATCATTTCTCATTTTTTATTGTCATTCACACTCTTTCGTTGGGATTTTCTTATATAAATTTCTCGTTTAACGCACAAGTGTAACGTATGAATAACATATAAACAAAATGAATAGCACGACGACGCTCGTCAAAAAGTATTCTGCAAATTTCCCGTCGAGCCAACCGTAAATTAGCAATTTAACGCGTTAAATTGTTAATACTCGTTTTCCAGAAGCGAAGTAGTCTGTTCACTCAGATTCCGACATTTCC